CGGGGCGGTCGCCAGCCTGGAGAAGGCAGCAGAGCGGGCGAGAGGTGAGGCCGCCATGCCCCAACCTGCCTGCAGGGCTATGGGGAAGGACGGAGCAGTGGCCAGCCTGGAGAAGGCAGCAGAGCGGGCGAGAGGTGAGGCCGGCATGTCCCAACCTGCCTGCAGGGCTGTGGGGAAGGACGGAGCAGTGGCCAGCTCGATATCCCGGAGGCAGAGCCAGGGCCGTCCAGGGCGACTCCTGGGTTTCCAGCTGGGGAGACACAGGGTGAGGATGGGGGCCGAGCATGTCACCAGGGTGGAAGAGGAGGGACGGCAGTGGGCTTGGTGGTGGGAGGTCCCCACACAGGCCACATTGTCTGTGGTGCCATCTGGACTCTGGACAGAGGTCTAGAGCTCAGGTCAGAGGTCAGACCACCTCTGCCAACCCCACGACACCCCGCAGTCCTGCGTCCTGGAACGAGCTGCCCAGACCGCCCACGGGTGCCTGCAGGCCTTGGTGTGACGTCAGGAGAGCCAGCACCCCAGCGTGTGCGGCTCCTTGCTCCTGCCGAAGGGGAGCCCGAGGCCCACAGGCAATGCGACTTGGAAAAGGCAAGGCCTGGAGGAGGATTCGGAGTCAGAGCAGGCATTTATGGGACACCCCCTGTGCATGGGGCTGCCCTAAGGGATGGCACCCCTGCCTGCTCTCTCCTCATCCCTTCGCCTCTCCCCCACACCCCGCTCCCTGAGCCTTGGCTTACCTTTCAGGCAGGACAGTTTGAGCCCCATGTCGGCGCCCTGCAGGCCTGTGGAGAGAGGAGAGGGGAGGCTCAGAGGGCCGGCTTCTATTGGCCCTGGGCGGCCCCCACCCCGCCCACCGGTCGCTGTGCTCGACAGGAAGCAGTGGCGGGGAGACCAGGGGGTGTGCGGCCTCCGGCTGCCTCTGGCCGACCTTGAGTGGAGATGAGGCCACGCCACGCTGGCAGCTTTCAGGAGCCCCCAAGGTAATCGTGTCCGAGGCCCAGCAGGCTCCGGCTCGGCCATCCAGGTTCAGGTCAGGGCATAGCCGGGGCTAGTGACTGGAACGCCTCCCACAGGGTCACAGGTTGGGGGTTACGAGAAGACAGAGCCCATAGCAATGAGGACCCTGTCCTAGCAGCGCCCTCAGTGCAGATCCCGGGGCCAGAGGTGGTGTGGCTGCATGACGCCCTGCAGGACAAACCCACGGGGCCAGGTTCTGGCTTCCCATGCAGACCCCGAGTGTGCCAGGCACACGCTCGCACGTGGCCTGGGGTGGCCGAGGCTGGGTGGGCTACAGGACCCTGTCGGGTGAGTCTTTCTGGCCCACGGAAGACGCGAACAAGCTTCAGGAGAGAAAGGGAAATGCAGTCTTGGGCGAGCTGGCCGGTTAAGCTTTGAAGAGCACGGCCCGGTGCGCTGGCATTGGGGCCGTCCCCACGTTTGCACGTCCCTGGAACACACGCAGCCCTCTGGGCTCCCAGCACTGGCAAGCAGACCACTGCCCCAGTAGTGCTGCAGCCACGCAGCTCAGCTCGGTGCTCCAGAGGGCGTGGGCACGGGCAGGGGACAGAGGGAAAGTGAGAAGGCAGCCCCAGCGGGTTCGGCTGTGCGTCCCTTCTCCACCTCTCACTCCTTTCAGGGTCTTGCGTGCATGCACACATATGCCCGGCGTGTTTCTCAAGCTGCTGGGCCCAGGACTCGAACTGTTTGGTTGGCCACGTGGGAGCCAGCCGCCTTAACCGCCACGTCAGCGGCTGGCCTGCCTCAGAGCCCCTGACCTTCAGTCCTTGGTAATAACCCTCTGCGATGCTTCTACTGCTGGGCTTTGAAAGAGGTAACAAGGCGGCCGGGCGGGCAAGCGGCCCAACGCACTCCAGCTCAGCACCTCAGCTCTCTCCGGTCTCTCTTTTTGAGAGAGATTTTTGCGATAGGGTGTGTGTGCTCACCAGAGAGACAGAGACCGAAAATAAGAAGTCACTTCCCGGGGGGTCCACACCACAGTCCCTTCTTCAACCTCCTCTCGGGATTGCGGGCACGCATGCACACGTGCCCAGTGTACTTCAAGCTGCTCCTCAGAAGCGGGGACTCGAACTGCCGTCCACCAGGTGGGAGCCCAGCCCCTTAACCGCCATGCCCCCTGTAGGCCCCTCTCCTGTCTTTCTTAGGAGCGGTCACAGCCTGCCTGACAGAGCCCACGATGGCTCTCAACCCCCTGAAGGCAGGGAGCTGTGCAAACCCTAGCTGGTCTGTGGGCCTGGGACTTGCCGTGAAACCCTCTGACGGCACCGCGGGAAGCGCGTGGCTAGGCGGGGGCTGCCTGCTGGGCGGGGTGCTGCCTGCTGGGGGTGCTGTCTGCTGGGG